GTTCCCGACGAAAATCCCGGTAAAGCCCTGCTTTGGTGTCGGGTGTTGCTGCCGCCGTTTAAATCGCGAAGTTGGGAGCGCCTCTCCGAGGCGTGGGAGGGGAGCTGGGTGCCTGAGGCTGTGCTGAGCGTGGCTCTGATTACAACAGGTCATTGTTGAGAGGTACCACAAGGAGAAGTACCTTCCTCTCTTGGACAAAACCAAGTTTCTTGTTCCCGAGGAGCTGACCATGACGCAGTTCATCACCATCATCAGGTGGGTGGTGAGCACCCGCGGGCCTGCGCTGCAGCTGGGGCTTCATGCCGCTGTCTGCTGCGCTGGAGCGCATTGCTGGCTTTGGTGGGGATGGGGGAAAGGTCTTGGGCATGGCCTCCCTCTTTTGCACACCTTTAAAGAAAGCCAACAGGTGTCTTCTCAGGTGCATTTGGGGGGGTAAAAAAAACGTGGTCTATGCTTTTTTGGATTCATGAAGTCTTCTCTCTTCCTCCTATCTGTAGCGAGTAAAGGTTGTATCATGCTCCTGGTCTGCTTTCTTCTTGCTTGATGAAGGTGGCACCAGAGCTCGGTGGTTCTGTTCTGCTTGCAGCTGTTACTCCCTTACTGCACCTAGCTGAATTTGCTGGAGTTCAAAGTGACTCTTAGGTGTGAGTGGCTTAAAATCTGCCTTTAAATTGCTCCTTGTAAAACACTATGGGGGAGAAGTCTTACAAAGTTCTTAAAGCATGGAAAAGATCTTTCTAGATGTTCCCTTCTGTAAAAGAGGCTTCTGGCTCTTGCACAACTTAAGTCTTGATCCTCCTATGTATTTTGTCTGAGAAAGAGTCTTCTTTTGAAGGTAGACTTTTGAAATAAGCGTAGCAGACCATGCTGGAATCTCTTACTACAGCTGTACTGCAAAAGCTTTTGGTTTCTTCTCGGCATTTCGCTCTGGTAACTGGGAACTTGAAGCCCAGGCTCGGCAGCACTCATGGTCTGACAATGTAAGCTGTTCCTCTGAGCACAAGCCTTGCAGCTGCCAAACGTACAGTTAACTTCCTGCTGATGAAGACATAAAACCACATAATGACTTCACACAGCGTTTCTTGTGCATAGGTCATGCAGCAGCTCTGCTTAATGTATTTCTTAGACTAAATTTGAAACCTGCTCAAATTTGCTAATGCTCTGTTTCTTCTCTCTTCTCCAACTAGAAGCAGGATGGCTCTAACTGCTACGCAAGCTTTCTACCTGCTGGTGAACAACAAAAGCCTAGCCAGTATGTCCTTGACAATGGCAGAAGTGTACAGGGACTACAAAGATGAAGATGGCTTTGTGTATATGACATACGCTTCCCAGGAGATGTTTGGATGCTTTTTACCCACCGCTCAAGGGAAAGCTATGGAATGCCTTCAAAAAACTTAAAGTTGGGTCCGTGTGCTGCAGTGAAGCAGTTTGCTGTGAATTGTGCTTGTGAAGTGAACGTCGGAGATGCTCCTTCCAACATGAGCTCTTGAGCTCTGTAGTGGGGAGTTATGACCCAAAAGCTGGCAGGACCAGCTTAAGGCAGAAATGGTGATACACTTTTCCTAGATAATAATATTGGATATATATTTTTATATTTGAAGACACTGTGGTTTTTTGGAACTGCACCTCCACTTTTTTGCAGTATCAGTCTTTGCCATGTAACTAATTTTTAAGGTGTCCTTAAAGCCTAAGTCTAAGAGTAAAATAAACAAGCTTTTAAGTATTGAGTTGAATGTTAGTTTTAATCTGGGGAAAGACTATAAAAAAAAAAATCTATCTAGAAGAAGGTCCTAGAATAATTCTGGGAATTTGAGTTCAGTGCCTCTTAAATGAAGCACTGCTTGCATAGCTGCTCTGAATTTTTGAATGGAATAAATAACAAAGATGAAGTCAGATCATACAGGAGCAAAACCATACTTGTAATTAGTTCATTAAGCTAGATATGAGCTGCAAGATTAAGCGCACTGTACTAGTGCTAGAGTAGGGTTCAAATGCAGTGTTAAGTTTAACACCTGGATAAACTACAGTCAGTTGTTACAGAAAACACTGAGTATAAGTGATATAGGTAATTACCTGTTTAAATAGGAAAACCTGATTGCTAGTCAACATAACCTAAATGCAGATAGCATGACTTGAACTGCAGTTTAATCAAGTGTTCAAGAGTCTGTTGTTAATAATGGATTCTGCTAGCCTGCACTCTGTAGGCAGGCAGTTGTATCCATCCCTGCAGGCACCTGCTTGCCAGTTCCCCAGAAGGGCTTCTGTGAGCCTGCTTTTAAGGATGGATGGAGCTATGTGATATACCTTGCGATTAGGAGGTATACCATTGTCTCTAGAAAATGTCAAAACTGTCGTGTAGTGACATGCTGATCCATGTAACAGTCTTTGTTCCTAAACCTGTATTAAAGGAATACTTGACAGAAGGCCTAGTCTGAAGTATAGCTCAAGCTGGCTTTTCTGGTCCTCTCATAAGTGAGGAATGTATTGGAAAGTTGTAAATATTCTGATTGTGCATAATCAACACAAAACACCAGGTCATTTAAAAATCTGTCACAGTGTGCACTTAATCAACCTCTGGCAGCCTCAGCTTAGGATGGTCAAATTGTTACAATATGATGCAATTGTTCTGTTCAGTACTAGACTGATTTGCAGAATGATTAATGTAGGAATTGCTAGACTGCAAAGAAAGAAGTGTTGACAGTATTTAAATTATGCATAAGGAAGGAATGTGTGTGTAACCCTTTTGCAGTGGTTTTCTTGCACTAATAATGTCACGAATTTAAAGCTCTGAGCAGGCCTGAGTTCAAGCCTTTAAACCAGGGGGTTTAGAGAGGTACCTGCCTTGCTGAAGGTGGTGTTTGCCAACTGCTGTTTCATGAGCTGAGGAACAAAGAAATCATTGGCCTGACCGACTCAGTGGAAAGGCTAAGGCTATGTCAGTATAGGTTATGAAAACATGTGGGCTTTGGGATCCCAGAATGCTTGGATAGATTTCATTTATGCTTGTAATGGAAACAGTTTGCATTGCACAAATTGAACTCAAGCAGTCATTTGTTCCCAGCCCTCGGGGAGGCAGAGGCACCTGCTTGGCAGGAGCACCACACAGGGATGCTGAACAGCTGTGAGAACTGTGGGCTGGGGCAACTGAGGGGAAGTCTTGCTGTGTTCAAGCTCTCTTGCCAGTCTTCAGAGCTGGGCTAATATTTTGCTTTGTTGGCTCCTTTGTCTTCCTGTCTTGTGTGATACTCTTTACATGAAGAGAAAAGCACTACAGAATCCTGGCTGGAGCAATTTTATGTCTGACAGCCAACTTTGATTTGTGATGTAGTGGCTGAGGTGTAAGTGTTTATCCCTCCAGCACTCACTGACGTTAGGCTATGGTGTCTAACAGGCTAAGTCACAGATCTAGCCAAAAAAGCTACACAAAGAGAAGGTCAGTTGCAGGTAAAGGGCATTATTATAAACCTGTTTAAACTGGGCTGCTGAAGTCATGTGAGCTGGGAAAGCTTTGTCAACGGTAATAATACCACCTTCTACCACGTGTTAAAGCAGGTAGGATTAAGCATCAAAGATAGTTTTCAAAAAGTGTTAAAATAATAAACTAGGAGTTAGATGCCCAGATAAATCAGTTATCCTGCTGGTGGAGTTGCTTTGCTGTGACTAGAAGCTTTGGATTCAACCTATTGTCTGTCAAAGTGTAAGGAACAAGAATTAGAAAAGAAAAAAACACAAAAACTTTGCTCTGACATAAGCAACTGAGATAACTGCAGCTGCTTCCAATGTAGCTGCTGTTTGAAGAGCTAATATTTGCTTGAGCAAATACCTATTGATCACACAGGTACATAATTTTTTTTTTTAGTGAAGGACACCATGCTTTGGTAAGTAAATTTTCTAGTTCTTTCCAACATACCCCCAACGTAAAAAGGGAAGGCAGAGATGCCACTTTCTTGTAAAAGTATCTTCATTTCTGAATTATGATATGGACTTGGATTATCCACCAGAGAAAAGAAAACGTTCTGAGGATACTTCTGTTTCTGCCATAGATTACCAACTAAATCCTGGAAGGTGCTCCATGCTCTGGCTTCAAACCACTTACATACGTACATGCTCTGCTGAAGGAACTTGTTAGATTGGGTCCACAGCACTTGGCCATTTGTAAGATCAAGCGCTGTGTCCTATCTTCAAATACAGAAACAATCAAACTGAAAGGACACTGAACGCAAGCGTGGGCTGAGGGCTGAAATTGCCTTTGCTGTTGAGGTTTTGTTGTTGTTGTTGTTGTTGTTTTTGAGTACTGTGTAAAACAGAGTACCAAGGGAGCTGTGACTTTAATGTAGCCAAGTAGAATCATACAGGAAAAACACCCAAAATGTTAAGGTCTGTTTTTTGTAACTTCACCAGGATACTAAAAAAGCTCTAATGTTAATGACCTCAGATACTGCTGGAGTTATTAAAAGAGAAATACAAAAGCAGCTAAAATCTGAGCCTGCAAACTTGCTGCACAAAAATTATATTTTAGTGAAACATGCCATTCATGGCTGTAATGCGTGACTGCTCTGGGAACAGGATAGTTTTCTTTTGAAAAGACCTGAGCAAACTTTATTCCCAAGGCACATGCTGTGGGCTGTGTGGACTATGAGTGCTCATAAGGGCAACTGAAGAAGAGCACAGGAGCAATTCAGAAAAACCACCCATAAGCTCTTGGGTTTGGTAAAAAAAAAAACAGTCTTACCAATGCATATGAATTTCAAGTGGGTAGAAATAAATTTTTTTGTCTGTGCCTGCTAACACCAGAGATTCATCTGTCTGTACTCTTCTTGCCACAGCTGATGTTCTACAGCCATCTATGCACAGCTACAAATTGTGTACAATGCTTTATGGAGTGCAAATTGCCATTTGTTGCTACAAGGTGAACATGATAACCTCAGCTTGGGCTTTAGCACATAAGCAACAGCAGAAGCTTTCCAAACAGTTTGGATTTAGAAATTACTTAACATTGTGTGTGTGTAGAATAAATAAATGAATGAATAGGGATGCTAATCTTCTCACTCAAGTACTGCAGGCAACAAGTCTTGTGAACTTAGATGGACTTTTTATTGTTTTCCTGTGCTAATGACTTCCAGATGGTGGTAGCTTCAGGGTAAAAATATTAAAGATACACTGTTAAGCACAGTAAGTGACAGACAATCTTCCTCTTCAGATGAGGTTTTGTGTTTTGTTTATGTAAGATACTATAAATTAAAAAGGTCAAATGAATTAATAGGACAGAATATAACCTTCAGCATCAAATTGCACTGCTGTATTCACCTTTCAAGAAAGCTCCTATAGAAACTATGGGGAAAAAACCAAAAGACCTAACCAGGAGAGAAACTATTTTTAGAACACTGGTTTTTAACTTATGGGCTATGAAGTGGAGGGGGAGAGAGAGAGGGAGGGTTTCTGTGGAAAACTTCCAAGGGATCCCTGAAATGTAATTGAGAAATGCAATTTCATATATGTTACAGTAACAACCTGCGTACAAAACATCTAATGGCACGCACACACTTCCCTTAAGGATCAATGTTCCAGAAATTTTTCTAGACAGCTCTCCTGAGTTTTAAAATATCCTGTTCTTTTCATACAGTTTTGAATTGCCCTGTCATTTTAGAGAAAAAAAAAAAAAAAAGGACTTCTGCCTATAGCTATGTGTTTAGTTTCTCCAGCTTTCCCAGGATGCTTTGTAATGGCACCTGTACCCACTTTCTTTCCTGACATTTTTAGGTTGCTACTTAAGTGTGCAAATTTCTTGGGTATCTGCTGACTGTTCCTATACAGTTTGCAACATGTAAAGGCAGTTAGGTCCTATAAGAAAAAAAGTCTGACCCTAGTTTAGAGGAACATGAATATAATTTTAATGCAGGTCGTTGATGCCTTTAGGGCTCCCTCCAGAAAGTCATAATCATATCACTCCCTGCCTCTTGGTTTCCACCTGATGTCTCTCTTGTGACTGTAGTGTTCTATGGCACACAACTGTGGCAGTGTATTCCAGGTGGGTTTTGAGGAACATACAGCAAGTATTGATACCAGAGTTTGAAAAGCAGCACTGTCCTTTCCCCTGCAGCAACAGATCCTCGGGAGGGAGGGGTGTGCCTCACTGGGTGCATGTGGAGTTTCCAGAGCAGGCAAGGACTGAGGAGGGCCTGCTTGGGCCACTCAACACTTACATCATGTCCAGCAGGGACTGTAAAGGGCCTTTATTGGGCTGCTTATGGTTTGTTGCAGGGTGGGCTTGGCTGGTGGTGTTCATTTTTTTGCAAATACTCCCCAAGACACTTTCTGTCTGTGTGCAGCAGCATGGTCTGTATCCTAATCATACCTTCAGCCCAAGCCTGTTACGTGTCCAAAAGGCGAGAAGGCTA